TTATCTAGAAGAAATCTGTTACTATCTGCTATAGCAACAGGGATGAAAGCCTTAACTGAGTCTTAGAAATCTGTTAGAAAGGACCAGTGGATCTCTCTAAGCTGTCTCTACATCACTTCATGCGTGCATAAAATCCTCTTTTAGTCTTCAAAGAGAACGAGTAAATTAACGCATGAGGTGAACATTACTTGTTAAATATTTCTGTATAAGAAATTTCTTTTTGTCTTGAATTATTGCAATAGTTTTGATATACGTTAGTAGCTTCATATTTATTAGATATATTTTTGTTATCTTGGCAGGAGGTTATCGGAAATGTTAATTCACTTGATTTTTTTCCCAAGTCCTTATTAGAGAGCCAATAGATAAGCCGTTTTCAACAGACGAACTTCAGGGGTGTACGTTATTGATCACTGATTTTGGAATGGCTTGTCGTTCTAGTCAGCTGGCACCCCAACAATCAAAATTAGGGACAGTAGCATATGCAGCACCAGAAGTTTGTCGTCAAGTGAGTTTACATACATATTTGTGTGATAAATGATTTATCAATGAGATTATATAAAACTTATATCATTGGTACAAGGTAATGGTTGGTTGTGAAATGAAAATCTGAGTTGCAGCGAGTTTCAAACCACTAGCTTCCACTTCACTGACCTGGGGCTCTGGCAACTGAGTTACAGGTCCTAGCTGTTAACTACGCCCTAACTTCACGTTAATCTCCGAGGCTTCTAGTTCAAGTCCTGTAGCTATCCAGATTTTCGTTCCGCATTCAATCATCGCCCAGTATCAATACGTGGTTTACGCTTCAGTTTCAAAATGTCTCCCTCAAAATCGTCATTTTGATTTACACATTGTCATATATATATATATATATATATATATATATATATATATATATATATATATATATATATATATATAGTTTGGAAGTGTAAACTCGTGTACATTGGTTTTCTGCAAATTGTCTGTCTGTTACTGACAGCGTTGTTGGCTGCCAGTTTTAAGTTGATTAAATGAATTTCTGTAATAGTTTTTCACACTCTTAAGAATATTTGATATTCTCTTGGTTTCACTACATATAAGTTGTACTGTATATTGACCATATAAATCGAATACTGCCTTCAAAAATGACGTATGTTCAGGTCACCTTCATATGTAAAACAAACGGACGTATTATTGACTATATGGTTATGTCATTCGTTTTTGCCCCACTTTGTTTTTTGAACTCAATTGTTCTGTAATACAGTAAAAGTAGGCTCACTGTCCTGTAACCTTTTATATCAATCAACCGACTTTTGTGCATGTGATAGTTTATATTATTATATATCCAATTTGCTATCTTGTATTTATCGTTGCGTTTATACGTTTACTTTCCTGTCTTAAGTTGTAATGGATTTTGGTATCTTGTTGAATCTTTCTTCAGGAGGGATTTTCCTTTAAGTCAGATATTTGGTCGTATGGTGTTGTCTTATGGGAGTTGCTGACGCTAGATGTACCATTTCGTGCAGTGGAACAACCTAGATTGTTGTTCATTATTGCTATGTACAATTATACTTTGTACATACCAACTGGCGTCCCGGATCTTTTCGTTCAACTATTTAAAGGTCAGTAATTTCATTCTTTGTAAAATAAAAGATTAGTCAGTCATTTACTAACAAGAATTGATAAGAATAGTGCTCTTACGGAGCTTTTCGGATATACGTACCAAACTACTGTACTGGGACTGCTATTGCGATTTTTTCGTTGACTTACGTACACTACTAATGTTTAGTATGTAAACCGGTTGTTTTGCTGCAGTTCTATTAAACCTGGAAGTCCTTTTTGTTTTTCGGTTGAACCTTGAAGATACATTTTATTTCCACGGTTAAACCAAGACGGTCTTGATTTACGGGAAGAAAAAATAAGTCAGCAAAGAAAATTTCAATGTTTAACCATATCATTTGCTGAAGCTATATAATTGTATTTAGAATCATTGGAAACAACTTGCAGACTAGTATCGACCATTAAGATGGTGGCTGATGTAACACTTTAAATAGGACAAAAAGTCTTGAAAAGACTAGGTTGGCAGTATGTGGATTGATTACAATAATCAGACACATAGAGAATCTCTAGATGTCAAGTGAAGTGCTAATGCATTCATTTGGAAAATCGAAAGTTATTGAAGAAAAACAAATATCGTAATGAAAGTGTTAAAAAGTAAACAAATAGAAAAGCAGGAATAATGAGGTTAGAAAAGTGGTAGGGGGGATTAGGGCTATGTCCAAAGGTTAGGTTGAAATACATCTTCTATTCATAGAGTTAGGACTTAAAATGATCCATTTCCCAATGCTTTGATCGTCCATAAATGATGAAATCGTACTTTTTTTTGAACAATTCAATTTAAATAGTTTTAAAAGAGGACTCAGGTGTGATTATATGAATTAAATTAACCAAATATTCAAGTATTGCACTGTTAACTGATGTACATTCACCTCTTTTTAGTCATGTAGAATAATGTTCAAGAGTGACGGTTTATTTTCTTTGTTGTGAACTATCTTCAGCCTACTGTTAACTAGGATTATATTGTTTCTTCATGGATATCTAAATATTTTAGAATAATCTTTTCTGTTCATGCTAATTTGTATTGATCCTTTTGTTATGGATAATGTGTAAAAACAGAATGTAATATAAATATTTTTTGTCAAATATACGGCTACTCCTTTTATGATATTTGGTGTGTACAGACTATCGCAGTGAATAAAGAAAAGAATATAATAATTAGTTTATTATTGTTGCAGTTTTGACGGCTTCTTTTTCATTCTAGTTTCGTTAATTGTAGTGATAATTTGGATTTAATGCACTTCTGTATGAAGGTTAAACTGTTTTGTTTTCTGTTTGTTTGAAGTTTTGAAGTGACTTTGTTATAAACCGTTTGTATTGGATTTGAAAAATCATTTACTAGTATACTTTTTATTGTTGCTGACTGATCTTTTATGCCGAAGTTGGTTTGATATCAAATGAAAAAAGTCTACGGTTAATTTACAGAAATCTTTGAATTGTGTAAAGTTAAATATTCTATTTCCTTCGATTTGTTTATCTAATTTTAACATTAAGTATTTGAGTCTCAATAACGACCTCCTAAACAAGTATGGTTAAGATTCATTTACACTAGACTCAGTTATTTAGTTTAGCCAGGATAAATTACTTCTCAGTTGTGTATGACGAAAATCGAGTAGGTTATAGTATTGATTTCACCTACGGAAGCTAGTTGTACAGATTTAAAACAGACTCAACTTATTGTAATCAAACCTATGTCAGGCTGTGTAAATTTTAACGTACTTTTAAGCATCTAATGTATGTATAGACATTGAATTTCATTAGACTGGGCTCAAATCCGAAATTTTCGAGGGTTTTTTTTGGAAATAGTTAAGAAAGAGATGTCTAATACAGTAGACAGTTTGATTTTCGCACAATAAAAATTGGTGTGCTAATTCCGATTGCTAGTTGCATAATGTGCGGTCTTAATCCTGTTTGAAACGCAAGTAATTTACTGCCATAAGGAAAACAGGAATGTGCTGCACAATGATGACAAAAATTGTCCAGGTTAAAACAAATGGAGTAAATATTTTTCCTTTTGATTTCATGTTTTTAAACTGGTCTAAATGTTTATGGAAAAGATAAAAAGAAACTATTTCCACTTGTGACATATATATATATATATATATATATATATATATATATATATATATATATAATATATATATATATATATATATATATATATATATAATTCGCAATTGGTCAGTTAACTGGAGTTCTTTAGTCCAGGTTATGGATACATTGTCGTAGGAAAAAGTAGTGAATGTAAGAGACAGCTATGTCTACCCTAATTCGTACTACGGCTTGTGATAGCCTTTACCTCACCCACTTACCTCTTAATGGTACTTTTCACCTATCGTTTAACGCTTTTCATCCATGCCTTTGTTATTAAACCTCATACTGATCGCACACTAATCCTGTAGTATTATTTAAGGCTTGTTTCTCAATATCTTTTCATGATATCTGGTACTGTTACCACTCATGCGTGTATTGTTTTACTTTGGTTGTTACGCTCTTCTTACATTAACATATGCCCAAGAATAACATTATTATTAATTTATATTTTCCTGTCGCTTAGATTGTTGGTCTCCTGCTCCTGTTAATAGACCTACATTTGAAAATATCATAGCTAGACTTGAATCGTGTAAGGATTGCAGTTTTGTGGATTTGGAACCTAGTGAATTGGCCCAAATTCAGGAAGGCTGGCGTCAACTCATAGCAGCTCATCATAAAGAAGAGCAACAGGTATGTTTTGTTGGTTTTTAGCACTGAAACCCACTAGGTGTTTGTTGTAGGTCCGTATGAACTTAGTGTACTTCTTACTTATTGGTGGGCTTATGTAGAAGCACAATATCCTGTCGAGAAATACAGCTATTGTCGGGCGTCTGTAAGCGTGCCTGTGGCTTACACAGCGGAACTCTCAAAAATATCTTGTTTTGATTTTCTAAACACGCTGGGATTATACTAAAATATTTTCGTATTACATTCTATCACAGTGCCCAAGTTTTACTCTTATATACACCATTCTGTGTTGTATATTACAACATAACAATTTTAGTATTTCTATTGTTTCTATGATGCTTTTACTTTTCCTCTTTCTTAAATTTTCAGTCAGTGGCTGAAGCATTATCGTCGTCGTTTAAAAGTGGAAGTTTAGATTTTACGGGTGAACTTTTAACACAACTGGAAATGTTACGTAATTATCGTGAATCGTTGGACAGAGTTAAAGCAGATCTAGTTGAAAAAGCTCATCAACTTCACATGAAAGAAGAGTTGTATAATCGAATGGCTGGTACCATGGGTGTAAGTTCTCACCGTTAATCATTGTTTTTTGTCAGGCATCCTTTTAATCATGTCATAAAAAGCCATCTTTGTGTTTTATGTAACCTATTGGTTTCATTATTTTTTAAATCTTTGATAAAGCTATTGGCACTAAGTAGTGAAACGTCAGTTGAAACAAATTTATTTTGTTTTACATCTATTGGGAGATACAAATATCAAGATAATGAATATCATTTACCCTATGCCTCAATTTTTTCTTACCTACTAGTTGTTTCTCTAGTTCTGTTCTTACAAATGCTATGAGGAAACTGCGTACAAAGTTAAATTTGTGTTGACTCATGATCACAAAGCTGTAACATTTATAAAGATTATCTATCAGGGTAATGTTACTCAGCAAATTAAGCTACGTTATTGATGCAGATGCAGTTATTTACTTAATTCTGTGAAGAATGCTAAAATTATCAATATATGGAGCGAAAAAAGTGTCCGGAACATTATTATTTTAACATGGACATTTTTCGTAAACTAAAATGCCATACACCTAAAGTGGCCATTTAAATGCACTTGATAAATAGCTTCATCCACAGAAGTTAGAGATTGATCTTCTCGTGTTTCGTGCTCAGTTATCGTCAGATCTCTCTAGCCAAAGTAGTAAGATCAAGGGATTCACTCGATTTACACTCACTCACTCCCCCCTCCCTCCTTCACTCTAACTATCCAGTCGCATTCTGAATCGAACATTGAAATAAAACCTCCAACTCTTTCTGCAGTTGAAAAGGTCGTAGGTAGTTTGACATAAGCAACGACAGCAGGTCCTCCCGATGCACTTGCACCAGAGGTGCTTAGGAACGATGGTTGAAGTTTGTCCATTGGATTGCCTTAAGCGTTGGCTAGTGTATGAAGGGTCAGATAAGATACCTTAGACCGGTCACAATCATTCATCAAAGCTACTCTGTCCTTGACTGGCTTTACTTTTAGTATCCCCTGACTGACAGCTGCTGCCTTGATGTGGTGGTCGGGCTTGCATGTCACAGTGACCCAACTAGCTACACTGACTGGGACGCTTGTTCCTTCGAGGTCCTACCATGTCAGAAAGGTCTTCTGGATAGTGGTAAAACGAAAAGCAGTTACCATTCCAGTGTACATTACTACACTATGATGCGGACCTGAGTGCGAAATCGTGCTGTTAGCGGCTGGACATCAGTACAATGTGCTTCCTTTGAATGACCAGCAGTGCAACGATAATGCTACCTTCTCAACGAAAGGGTGAGGCGTGGGGGTAAGGAAAGGTCGGCGCCAAAAATAACAAACTCAACCATGCCCCACGATCTCCCAATGCCGGAGTCATGGGTTCTCCTCCCTGGTCGGGGCTAGAACAAACACACCTTGAAATGACCCACAAAAAACTGTACATGACAGGCTTCAAAAAGATGTCCCATGAGATCCACAGTCACACAAATCTATTCCCCTTCATGTACCTTAAACAGAAATAGCCTCCTACAATGTGGGACACCGGAAAGTGTCCACCGGCATGCACGCTTCCAGTAGTATACAAGACCCAAATCAAACATAACCTATCCTCCTCAATTCTATCCTCCCCCTCCCCTCCCTTTGCCTTCACCTCCTGATACTAATATCAGGCCTCTTATGACTTAACCAACCTCTCAATTTGTAACCACAGTCATCGAAACCTCATTCCCAATCTCTTAAGAACCCGCTCACCAGCAGTTTCATGCTAGAGCCGTCAACACCCAAACTCTATGCCAAATCAGACAGCAAGCATCGCTCATCAAAACCCTAGTATCTCTAGCCATGGATGTAGGCTGTCTATGAGATACGCACACAGGATCCCAGTGAGGATATGGAGTTGGTCTCATCTGACCATACCATAGTAGTGAACCCTCAAAATTCACCTTCCGAGTATTTCAATACATACATGGCTAGCTTCTCGTGGACTCACTGGTGTAGGCATAGTTTTCAGATGTAGAGCAGAAAGTGCGCTTCTCAACTGGATACTAGTAAACAGCATCAGTGTGCTGTTCAACGGAATGGATCTGTAAAAACTAAGTAGGATCGTGAGACTAGGCAATGCCTATTCGTAATCTCCGTTTACTCATCCACCGACTGCAGTTCAGATGATGCAAAGAGTGAATCCTATGAGAAGCTGTCAACTTTCTTATAGAAAGCAAAACGTTCAGATGTCATCATAATGGCAGGTGACTTTAACACTCAAGTAGGGAAACTGAACTGAGCCAATCGGCAAGGCATCTTAGGAGTATTTGTGGAATCCGATGCTAACGAACCGACAATGCTGATCGTCTGTTACAATTTTGTTGTGACAATCACTTGTCTCTGGTCAGCACTAACTTAAGACACAAGAAGAGACACTGTATCACATGGCGTCCACAGGCATCAAACCAACGATGGACACAGATCATATTCCTATCATTCAGCCGTCGTTGGTGGATTACTGCCCTTCCTGCAGTAGCTGTTCGGACTCCGATCACGGGGTCGTGTGTGTCAGCACTTTACTGACCGCCGCAAACAGGAAGCAGTGAGGTCCTTCTGTGATCGATTGGTAGATGAGGATGCGATGTACACATTTAGAGAGGAGTTAGCTAAGCATTTATCTGAAAATAACAACAATACTCTTCCTTCGGAAATCTGGCATGATCTTAAGTCTGTTGTAGAAGTAGCGGTGAAGATAGTTGATAACTTTTATCTAAAGGTTAGCAATCGTCATTGGATTTCCATGACGTCATCCAAACTGATTGTTGCGAGAAGACTGATTCCAGCTGGTTGTGACTACGATGAAGAGCGTAAACAACTTAAAAGTAAGCTGACCAAGCGTCTTCGCTTCGATCGCTAGCATTGGCGGGTGGCGAAAGCGAGAGGGATGGAGAAAGTATCAGCATTGGGTAACACTCGGCATTTATTTCAACTGATTAAGAATACTGGTAAGAAGAAGACAATGGTGAGTGAAACCATCATAGAGAAGGATGGGAGGCTGATGGCTTCCTAGGGCAGGTCGCAGGTAGCTTGGACGGTGGGCAGAACACTTTGAAGCTGAGTCCAACTGACCGTCAAGATCGCCTCAGTTGCCTAACATCGAGCCTGAAGGTGAGTAGGATGTTGATGTTGGTTCTCTGACTCTCCTTGAAGTTGATGAGGCTGTATCAAACTTGAAACGATGCAAAGCAGCAGGACATGACAGTTTGTCACCTGATGTTTTCGATGACGGAGGTAGGAAATTGGTGACCAGAATGACGGAGGTACTAGGTAGTGTATGCTGTTCGTTCTGTCTTCTTATACTGCTGTGAGACATGACCGTTAAAAGAAGACAGGAAGCGGCTTTATGTATTCGATCATAGGTGTTTCTGTAGGGTTGCTCGCGTTTGGAGGAATCACTATGTAAGCGATGCTGAGGTCAGGGGAAGGGTTCTACGCAAGACTGACTAGTCGATTTATGAGGTTGTGAACTTCAGTCGACTGAGATGACTTGGACATGTACTGCACATGCCGATCCACCGGCTATCTGGACATGCCATGCTAGGGGAAGTTGGATTAGGTTGGAAGAGTGTTCAAGGTGGTCAGACTAAGCTGTAGCACAAGTCGACGAATTCCCTGACTATTGGTCTGAGTCATGTTGGGAGATGTAGACTAACTGGTTAAGGTCCTATAGACGAAAGTAACGAGTGGTTGAGGACTCTGTGACATATCTGAAGATCGGTCACAGTGGTGCAGAAGTATATATATATATATAACCATGTGAAAAATATATGGCGTGTGTTAGTTTCGAGCAAATTTTATAAATAACTAGTTCATAAGGACTCACACGACTTTTTCATATGACTGAGGTGTTTATACATAAAAATGCAGAAAAACAATAAATAATGTGATGTGAGAGCCTCCTAAAAACTGATGAGATACATATCGATCAGCCGTCATTTCGTTGCATTAAGGACACTCGACCCAGGAGTGAGTTTGAGATCCACTCCATACGCAAAGGTTTGATTACCAAATACCATCATACTCTTTATACACTCACTGTACCTAGTACAAGAATTTGTACTCGGTCACTAAGTTGTATATTACTATTATCATTATTTTCTTAAGAATAAAGGTCAAAAGTTAAATTTCATTTATTCCATTCTTACCCCAAATTCAACTTGATGGTCTAGAAATGTCTCGCATGGATCAATTGAGTTTAGACCCATATTCACGCAAACAGGACACGTCGATGAAGTATTATACTTAGAATTATGACGACGATCAGCGCTTCGTATACGGCGAGTGTCCTGAATAGAGAATTTATATTTGCGCTTGTCATTTTGATGTGCCGCATTACTTGAGAAGACATGTTTGAAATCAGATTCATTTTGTCCAAAAAGTAACGATGTGTTACCAATACCCCTCGATGTATTTTTACATTAGAACAGGATGCAGGTAGGAGAGACCTGACAACATTGTATCAACTAACTAGGTTGCTATCTAGGAGGAGGTCAACGCAGACGAAACCAGTAAAAGGTGATGACGGAAATTTAATTACGAAAGAAGAGAAACGAAGGAACAATGGCCTACCACTTCAAGAAGCTCTTGAATCGACTACCACCTGCACTTCGTCAAGAAATACCACCTACAGCCCAGCCACAGAACTACAAGTGAACATAAATCCTCCAATAAAAGTGGAAGTCCTAAGTGCCATAAAGCTACTGAAATATGGCAAAGCAGCAGGACCAGATGGGATCCCACCAGAAGCACTGAAAACAGACGCAGAGACAACAGAGGACATGCTCACACCAAAGAACTATTGCAGAAGGTGTGGAAGGAAGAGAAGGTACCTGGCTGTCGATTGGAAGAAGGGTTACCTTGTCAAACTCCCGAAGAAGGGAGACCTCAGTGTTTGCAAGAACTGGCGAGGAATCACTCTCCTGTCCACCCAGAGCAAGCAAAATATTAAGCCACATCATCCTGAAGAGGCTAAAGGATGCACTGGATTCAAAACTATGACCGGAACAGGCAGGCTTTAGGAAGTACAAATCATAAGTGGACCAACTTGCAACGATACGCTATGCATCATCATAGAACAGAGTATGGAATGGCAGTCAACTCTACACCTCAACTTCATCGACTCTGAAAAGGCCTTTGACAGCGTCGACCGAGAGGTAATTTGGAAACTGCTTCAATACTACGGAATACCAGAAACCCTTATCAGCCTCATTCAACAATTATATGAAGACGCCACATGCCAAGTAATTCACAATGGGAAGCTCAGTGATGCTTTTGAAGTGAAGTGAAGACAGGAGTGAAACAAGGTTGCCTACTATCACCCATGATATTCCTGATTGTGTTGTGATCGACTGGATCATGCAGCAGACAACAGTGGGGAGCTGTGAGAAGAGGGGATACGCTGGTTGGACCGATGAAAAGAGCCTAGAAGACTTGGATTTCGTCGATGACTTGTGTCTGATGTCACACAAACTGGAAGATCTACAGGCGAAAACTAACAAGTTGGTAGAAGAGGAGAGGCAGGGAAGATGGGACTTCAAGTGAATATAGAGAAGACTGAGGTAATGAAGATACCACACGAACAACAACAACAAACTCCAGTCACCATGAACGGGAGAAAGTTAAAGGAAGTAACCTCCTTCACCTATCTAGGCAGCATTGTTTCAGCTACAGGCGGCACAGACGAGGATGTCAAAGTCAGAATCGGAAAAGCAAGACAAGCCTTCGTTCATTAGCCTGAAACCAGTGTGGAGATCTTCTGCACTTCACTCAGCATGTGGAACAAGATCTGGATTTTCAACACCAACGTCATGTCGGTGATTCTCTATGGTTCAGAGACTTGGCGCCTTACGAAATGGATTTCCAATAAACTACAGACATTCATCAACAACTGCCTACACTGGCTCGCCACTGAAGATCAGATAGCCAGAATAACAAGAATAAGCAACAAGGAACTCTGGCTGGCAACAAACCAACCAAGAAGCTATCGCTGAACAAATATGCACTGGAAGGAAGTGGAGATGGATCGGGTATAGACTGAGAAGGCCGGCTAGGAACAACACGTGTCAGGCCAGACCGTCGAGTGGAACCCCAGTGGGAAGCGACGAGTTGGGCGTCCTAGTTGAGGGTGACATGGAGGACATGGTGAGAGGAGGAAATGAGAGCTTGTGGGCTGTTGTGGAGCCAGGTTCAAAAGATTTCAGAAAACAGAGTTCACTGGAGACGTGCTAGTGAAGCCCCATGTTGCATTAGAAACCCAAGGGACTAATAAAAATATTAGTAAAAACTGTGAGAAATCCACTTTTACTAACTTCATAGAAGAGTCAGAAGAACCTATTATGGGATAAATAAGGAACCAGCAAACTCCGAAAAATTTGTCTATCGAGATTTATTGAGATAAACACTATGTCTAATGAACATCATGAACGACCCGTACTGCTTAAAAGAAAACTTTTAAATTAGATTCCGAAGAAATGAGACTTAACAGATTCTCAAGAAGCAGCAGTGTGTGAGCAACAAAGAAAACTGTATTATCCGCCAGTCTTGGTTATGTTGTTTGACGAAGGATGTATGTAGGATAAATCTACTTACGTGATAGCTTCCCCTACCCCACGTAACGCATCCCTTACAAAAGACATTTCCGAACCCTATCCTGTTTGGCTACCTAATGAAGCATGCAAATCAGCTTACATCTCCTTTGTTGAACACCTTATTTACACGACTCATACTGGTGAGTTAGAATCATTCTTCAAAGCTACATGCAATTAAAATTTAATGCTTAAAAAAGTATAGATTCACCACTTGGACATACACGGAATATAGTCTTGCAGTTTATCTATTCGGGCTTCAACTCTGCGCTAAAGTGATACGTCTGGTCTCTTATTTTACTGTGGTTATTAACCGTTTTTGGCTACCCATTTGTAGTAACAGCTTCGTATTCTGCTCATTATGCTTTTACTTTCGTGTAGTCTTATGCCGTCAGCTAGTAGTTAATCTATTTGTTTGTTTTAGCTTCAAATACACTTAACGTCCTTGTAATATCATTGGCCTATAAATAGTAAATATGGCTAATTACATCTGTATGGGTTTGACGAACAGTAACCTTTGGAAGGCTTAGGTTGTCTTATTTAAGTTGACTATCACTTTTTTCAAACGTGGAATTAGTTCATTTTGTTTGCTATGATGTAACTGTTTTTATATTTTCGTCTTATTTTTTACTCAATTTTAGCAACATTTCATGCTTTTGGCTGTTCTAGCTGCTAATCACTTAAAAGATCCAACTCATGCAAATCAAATTGCTCAGCCGAAACCACCTCCACCTAGAAAGCGTCCGTTCGTTTGTAGCCTTTTTAGACGATGGGGAAGTAATGGACATGCATATTCTGCAGATAATGATTGCATCAATTCAAGCACGTCTTTCACAAGTAGTTTTCAAGGACAGGATCGCAAACGATCTATCAACTCTACACAGTATATTGTTAGCAATCGACCACAGTTTGAAGGAGCTGTAAATAGTTCCTCAGATTTAAATACATCTGTTCTTGATGAAACTTTACAGAATTCCCGCAGGACATCTAGTAGAGTGGGTTGTAGTCAGGGTGGAATACCTCTTATCTCACCCCCTACAGATATGAAACATGTGGTTCACGTGGATTCTGATTGGTTTACTGGTCAGGGATTATGTGAATCAACAATGCGATTGTTTCCATGTAAG